CGACCAAACCGACCATCTCCTTATTTCCCAAGATACAGAGAAACAACGTCTGAACTTTCCTAATTATGGTTTCTGGGCTGCGGGCATCACGGCTTCGAATTGAAGGCTAAACTCGCCACCAAACGGCGCCAGCATACCAAAAACATTTCCAGAGCGCTAAGTTTCGAGCATCGTCTGCGTTCGGCCGCGGCACTCCTCGTCTTCAGCTTTGGCATACCTTGCTGGTGCATCAGTGGGAGTGCAGGAACGGAAACCCCAAAACCTTAATCCCATCAAGAACCCCAAACCTTCAGCGCCAGCAGGATGCTCGACCATTAGCCCACAACCCGCAGTTCCACTCACCAATAGGCCGATGTTCGCGGAGAAGAGACAGATCGCCAAGGGCACATAGGAATACTCAGCATCTGGGTTGCAGGGCAATCGGTCGTAAAGATACTCGCCATCCGGTCCCGCACAGAAGTACGGTTCGGGAAGCCCCATGCAAGCCATGGTGGAGTAAGCCGTTGTGGTCATCAGCCAGCCAAACACCAGGTAGGGCCTGCGGCGATATCCGAAGATCGGGCGAGAGTCCGACACGACACCCATAAAGACTGACAGGACATTCGGAAGCGAGGACAAGTTCTGCAGAACTCGGATGATGTCGCTGGAGACATGAAGATAGCCCGCAAACACGCCCATGAGGAAGGCGTTGAAGCCTCCAGCTAAGAAGCCCAAACACCAGCAATGAAGGATGCAGCCCCAATTGCCAGGATCATAGAAGTCAAACTCAAAGTGACTCTCGACCTCCGCTGCCCCCTGTTCCAGAAAGTCCACTTCGATGCTGGGCGAGTTCTGACTCTTCCTTGGCTCTAGTTTGGAAAATCGGCTTCAATTAATTCATCACCATAGACGGAATCCATAGTCAAAACGTCCTCCTTCTGATTCATATGATGTTAAGCTTAACCATCTTCCTATCCTGACCTGTACCAAAATATCCTCAAGAAGAACCCGGCTTCACGGTTGCGGCACGCTCCTCAACACGGGAGGGGACCGCATCTGTCAGCATGGCTGGGCACCAGGAAAGCACACTTAATTCACTATACCGGCCGGAGAATTGAGCCGAAGCCATTTGCTTGCGGCTTTGGGGTTGAGGCATTCGGGCTTAGTTCGTCGGGTCTCGAGCTTAGGCTTGGAGTTCAGATATGTCTTAGACTATGCAGGTAACGGCAATGACAACTGGAACATCCAGTGTCTGCACTTTCAGAAAGAGCCAACGGGACACAACTGGGAGACAAACGACTGCGCCAGCACTAGACGGGCATTGAGTTAGAGCGAGCATGCAGGGCCCATTTCACGAAGGAACACAACTCGGATACAAATGGGAGGCTGAGCCCCAACGGGCATTGGAGCATCCAGGACCTGCTCATTTCACAAGGGACACACATTGTAGACAAATGAATGCGCCAGTCTCAAACGGGCGATAGAGCATCCAGGGTCTGCGTGTGGCAGTGGAGGAGGAGACGACTAGGAGACGACTGGGAGACAACCGTTGAGATGTAAGAGTATTGCGATACTGGGGCTTTGCTTAAGCAAATTGAGAACCCCTTCACAACCAACCCACCAACCACCAACAACGCCTCACCACCACAAGCAACCGCAACCACAACCACAACCTCATACTACTACGACGACAACAACAACTACTACTACTACTACGACGACGACGACTACTACGACTACTACGACTACTCCGACTACTACGACCACTGCGACCACTACGACCACTGCGACCACTACGACTACTACGACCACTACGACTACTACCACTACCACTA